GCAACAAGATGGTTCCCATACAGGCTGAAAGGTCCCAGCCCAGCAGAGGAATAGGGCACTGAGGAACAATCAAAAAGGAGTGTTTGAATATTTGACTCTCAAATTGGTAAGTGATAGGGAATGTATAGAACCAGGCCTTAAGGTTTCCTTCAACCTCCATTATCTTAGCCGATTTGAAGGAAGGAGGTCCAGAGTAAGAGTTAAGGACAGATTAAGTGTCAAGAAGTATCAACAAGATCAACAAGTATCAACAAGAAAGTTGATTTTCTTACCTGCCACACCCAGAGTTACCTGGGGCTCCTCGGTAGAGATGGGAATATGAGTACTCCCTGGGGCCGACCTGTTCCCCAGGCACCCTCAGTCCTCAAGGGCAGCCATGGCCTTGGGTGATGACCCCTTTCCACTCTGGGAATGGGGCGGTCTACCTTCCAGTGCCAGGGATCGGAACTGAGGTTCTTGCATAGAGGACAGGGTCCTGGAGGTGGTCGAATGCAGGTCTTTGCCCAGTGTCTGGGGGGCTTGCACTGATAACAGGTCTGATCCTTTCACCCCTGATTCTTTTGAAGCCTCCCCGAGCTCCCCTGATGGGGCTCATCTTTGCCCATAGCACTGCTGAAGGAGCTCAGCTTGCTCCTCCCTTTCCTTCTTTCCCTGTTTCCTTTCCTCTAAACCCTTATTGTTAAAGACCCAAAAGGCCATATCCATGAGCTGATCTAGGGGGGTCTGTGGGCCCATTTGTAATTTCTGAAGCTTCCTGCAAATATCAGGGGTGGACTGACTTATAAAATGCTATCCTATCAAGATTCGACTCTCCAAGGATGATGGATCTAAGTTTGCATATTTTCAGGAGGCTTCTACTAGTCTGTTTCTGAAGAGACCTGGTTCTCTTCCTTGCCCTGGGTGATTTCCCTAATCTTTATGTAATCAACAGGTTTCTTGATGCAGTTTCCCATTCCTGCCAGTAGGCAATCCATCCTGGCATCCCTACTCTGGATTCCTGCCTGAGTATTGTATCCCCAGTCAGGTTCCTGGTCTGGGATGGCTTGGACGGCAGGCTGGTTAGTGCCGGGGTTCTGGGTATGCAACTGGGCCTCCTCCCAGATTCACTATTTCTCAGCTGGGGAACAGCATGTGGTCAGAATTATGTACAAATCCCTCCATGACATACTAAAGGCTAAAGTAAGAGTCTGGCAATTACTAGTGAAATGCGAAGGGTCCTCTGAAGAACTCCGTAGCCTGTCTTTACATTGTTGTAAACCAGTTATGGAGAAGGGCACTTGTACCCTTATAGCACCTTCAGCACCTGCTACCTCTCTCGCAGGTGGGGATGTAGGAGTGATGGGGAGATACGAAGCGCCACTCCCAGTCTGTCCTGCTGGGCTGAGTTTTTCCTCAGCTTGTCGCTTTAGGTTGTCCGTAGCATAAGGTGGCTGAGAGCTCGATCCCTCTAAGGTGGGGCAGAGACTCCTGAACTCTGGGGTTCCCTTAATCTCCCTTGAGTGTCTCCCTTGGTGTCTACCAGCTGTCTCTGGTGAAACAAATCTAAAAGACTTAAGAGGATCATCACAGTCTAGTTTTACTTCTTTTTCTATGTTTAATTCAGAGGTTTTGAGTTCCCTGGACACTACTTGCATAATGCATCATCCTACTGAGTGTCCAGGATGCAAAGAACTGTTAGCAGGGAGCCAGTCCAGCATCCTTGAGCAACTGCCTATAATCCTGATGACCCCAGTCCCGCTGCTCTGCCCAGGTGACCTGAGTGCAATTCCATTGCTGTATTCTCCATCTACGGAGACCCTCGTTTGCCTGTAAGCCTTCAGGTCTGGGGCAAAGGAAATGTCTTACTAGCAAAATAGTTTCTGGCCCTGTAAACCACCCAGAGGGGCACCAAGATGATCTTATTATAAAATGACTCCCTTCCAAATCACAAAGATGACCCTCAGATATTCTATCTAATTTTTCCAGAGCTTTGAGAAATTGTACCTGAGTCTGAAATTTCCCTAAAAGGGACTTCAAGAGGTCTCTGAAGACCCCCCTTCATACTGGAGGTGGCTCTCACAGAGGATGGCTGACCAAGAGGGGAAATTAAAATACCCCGATAGGGGCAAGTAAACCACCTTAGAATTCCAAATTCAACAGATTGGGTAAGAGTGGCTCCACGTGACCATTCTGGTAACAAATGACCAGCAGGCACCTGTGAAGGGGTTCTGGGCGATGTTGCTGCTTACAATGATGGTAGATATAGGCCAAAGGTGGGAGTGACCCATTCCTGCAACTATACTTAGTGATGGGACTATTAGTGACCCCGAGATAGATATTCTGGGTACAAAGACAGCAGGAACCCTTCCTACACAAAAGGCAAGTAGGGTACAAGTACAGGTGTAAAGGCCAGAAGTCAGCCAGAGGACAAGTGTAAAAGACTATCTGTGGGCCTGAGGAGGAGACTGCAAAAGGAAGTCGTAGCGCAGCCAGGTGATCCGGTATGGAAGGTCCGACTATGCCTATGAGGGAGTGGCCTCGGGGTGGGGCAGTGTCTTGTGGTTTTTACAGTGTGCCTGACCAGTGTGCGGACATTTTCTTAGCCCCCCAGAATGGCTAAGGCTACCCCATTCTGCACCCAGGTTATCTTATCATGGGTGTCTTCCAGCAGTGGGCATCCTTATAGCTTTTAAATGCTGGATCCGTGTCCTCAGTTTAGTGGCCAACCTCCCATCAGGGAACATCCCACTCACCAAAGTGGAATAGGTGGCAATAGAAAGGGGCATCCCTGGGTGTCAGAGCAGCAAAGGGGGCTAACCACTCCAGTGTCATCTCCTGGCTGGCTAGCCAAAATCTGTCACAGGTGTGCACAGGTAACCAGGTTCTTGGTGATCGTGGACAAAGAACTGAACCAAACACACAGAGTTTATAACAGAGAGAGAGAGAGCAGATTTATTAAGCGATAGAACATTCCACAGAACATGGGAGCAGGCCAACTCTGAGCAGAGACTGACCTCAGGGGCTGCAGGGACTCTATTCTTATAGGGAGGATCCTTCCTGGCTAGTTTTCGCGGGCTTTTATCGTGCACGTACAAGTAGTTGTATTACTTGAAAGCTACTGTGCATGTGGTCTCCCATGATTGTCCTTGATTGGCCACCAGAGAAGGGGGCCACACAATGTTAATTGATTATAGTGAAGCAGAGGCCATGTAGCATCTTCTGTGTAGGTGCATTCATGAGTCCCCGTGATTCAACGCTTTTCCAGAAAGCGGGAACAACCAGTCTTAGAACAGGGTCTCTGTCCTTTATCGACGTCCTTTATCTTAGAGAGTTTCCTCCTTCCTGACTGTTTCCTGACTCAGTTCTGTTTGAATAAATTGTGCTCTGAGTTTCCTGGCAGCCAAAGGGAAAAAAGGAAAGAATATGGAGTGAAGGCTGAATCTGGAGGCATAAGGAGTGGTTTCCAGTTTGGCAATCTGCCGCTGTCATTTACTAGCAGGGTGACAGGGATCTTTCTTTTTTGGTCATTTCCTTCCTTGAGAAATGTATCTAAGAAGAATCTGGAAGAATGCTGGGAGGATTCAAGGAGAAACTGTATGAGAAGGAAACTCTAAAGCATGCTAAAAATGAAAGTGGTGATAATCCAGTTTACCCACCAAAAAGAGAGCAAAGCGTTTTCTTCCATGAGACACCCGCTGGATTATCTTACTCCCTGGAAGGCCTGGAACACGGAGGGCACGCAATCCATGTTTGCAGAACCCGGAAAAGAAGGAAGGAGGGCACCTCCCAGGCGTTCGCTCCTCAAACTTGAGTAGTCGATTCTGGGTCAAGTTCATTCACTCCTTGTAAATAAGAAAAGATGGAAAAGGTCAGCCCTCAAGCGGCCAGGAAGGACCGCAGAGGGCCTCATGCACCCCCAGTGTGCCTCTGTGAACTCATGACCACAGGGCTAAACGGGCTTTCTGTACTGCCCAGCCATCCTGCTAAAATTTCAGGACCTACCGCTCTCCCTCCCGGGTCCCTACTTCAGGCCTTCCACAGTCTCCACCCACATACTTCTTCACTCATCCTACGGGAACTCCAGGAAGTCTTTTTCCCTGCCTTGTCCCCCTATTTTACAACACCGTGGCATCTATGACAGCTCCAAATTCACATTTATTTGCATCATTCTTACTGAACTTATTTTCACCATTATTAAGTGGTATATATGAATTTATCGTTAATTGAAATTTAATCAAGTTAGTTGCTAATTACATTATATGCTTCTTTGCATCACTATTATGTTTATATCAATTGTGTAGGAGATGGCTGGCTCCCTGACTGTAACCTCCAACTCAGCAGGGACAGGTTTTTTTTGTTTAACCATGTGCTGTCAGTCCTAACACACTGCCTGGCACATGGTAGGTGTCCAGCCAATATTTGTTAAATTAATCAGCATCCCTGAACTCTTGAGCTCTGTCTAGCGGCGCTGGGGCCCATGTGTACAATGGTGTAGCAAAGGCCTTCCAAAGTTCCAGGGGCATTTGCAACATTTTGCAAAGTGAACTCTGTAGGGGGATGTTTTGGGAGGTGGCACAACCTAGCCTCTTTAAAACAGCAAAATGAGACAAGCTCTGAAGCAGCCTTGGAGACAGCGGAACGCAGCAGAAGACTGCGCTCCAGGGCACACACAGCCTGCTCTAAGCCCTGCAAACATCCCGCGCACGTAACTCAGGATGCCAGCTGGAGGCTGTGCTGGGACTGCCTCCTTTCATTTCTCCCGCGCGAAATCCGGCCGGACCGCTCCACTCCCTCCCTCTGCTGTAGGGGGGACCCTGGCACCCCCCAAACTGCTAGCTGCCTCAGACCGCGCCCATTTGCCGTCCCCTCTCGCGTAGCCTGAGAAGCAAAGTTTCCTGGTCACGAAGTTTCAGCTCCTGACCACAGCCTCGCAGCCTCGCGCTGCGGTGTCAAGTGGGCGGTGCCGTACCCTCCCCCTGTCCCAGGCGCAGAGTGAGCCCCTCCCAGGGCCTGCCAGAACTTCGGAAGCTGACTGCGCGGCTGCAGGCATTCTCCCTGCGCGGTGCCGGGGGTTGAGCCAAACTCCAGTGGCAGCGTGCGAAGAGGAGGCTGGAGTCCGGGTGGAAAATGGAGAAGGAGAATCGCTTCCAGGTGAGTGTCCGACCCTTGACGCAGTCCCGACACCCCTACAACCTGCCTTCCCTTTGCGCCCGGCCCTTCTCCTCCTTGGGCTGAAAACGTGGCCCTTGGCCACAAAGTTGTGAGTCCGGCGCGCCCAGTCCCGGGAACGCCTGAGTGGGCGTGCCCTGCAGGTGTGCGCCGTGGGTCACGGTTGTGCCAGTCACACTGGAAAGGCTGGAAGCCTCCGCACCAGCGCCCTAGCCTCCATCCTGGGTGGGTGCCTGGGGGTCGCAGGCCCAGCTGCTGTGGCCGCGAGCCCCAGGCATGAACGTATTTTCAGGGGAGGCAGCAGGAGCGCAGCGCTCGCGTTTGCTGCGCTCCTGGACCTGGACCTGGGGCTGGGGGTGCGGAGCTTTTCTGGTGCCTGTGCTCCAGTTTTTCTAGAAATTGTCACAGAGATAAGGAAGTTTAAGAAAAGAGTAATTTTTCTAAAAAAAAAAACCAAGCAAGTCGAGAGTCAGACCAGTTTAGCCTGGATAATGGAGTTTAAAAGGAATTGCTCTTGTATTTGTTCTAGAACTTTTGTAAATGTTTTCAAGGAATTTGTAACCACTTGGGGCAGGGTGGGGGTGGGGATCTCAACGTCATTAAGCCAAAGTAAAAAACAAAAAGCCCCAAGGTCCCAAACCATTGACACAACACGACCCTAATTAACGCGGTAGGGTCTTAAGTAGCTTTTAAAAACTTCATTAACAAACACTTGCGAGTAAGTTACCCCAATGTTTCAGTGGGGGTTGGGATTGTGAGCATGGTTTCAGCTTTCCTTCTTACTTTTTAAAAGAGCTTTTTTCTCTACTTTCTAGTAATGAATGCTCATGTTTTTTTCAGAGGTAAGCAATAAACACTTTTCTTTTCAGATGAACTAAAAATAAACTCTGAGAACGGGAAGGGAGTAGCAGCTTGTGGGAACCCGAGAGATGCTTAGTGTGGGGCCTTGGGGGTTTTTCTTGCTCTCTGTGAGCTCATCTGACTCACTGCTTCCACCTTACTTTCGACTGGTGTTTACCTCCTTTCTCCACCTGGCCGCTGGGCTCTGGCCTTGGGAGAGTAGACCAGCCTGCGGTGCCTAGCGGTGCCTGAGCCCGGCCCTGTCACCTGGCCAGGTCTAGCTGCAGACCAAACGTCTGATGGTCACTTTGGCTTTTAGTCATTTCCAAAATGGAAGGCTTTTCTGAAAATGGACATTAGAGAAAAATCTGTTGTTGATGCTTATAAGAAAGTCATATTTTTAAGTTTTTCCAACGAGGGGAGTTATTAAAAGCAAGGGAAACAAACAGTAACTCAAGGTTAAAAAGGACCAAGACAGGTTAGATACTCATTTATTTATTTAGGCCACTGGGCTTTCAGCACATCAGTGTCCTGTGCTTCTCAGAGGTACAGGTTGGTTTCTGCAGGACTTACACTGAACTTTCTGGAAGGAGCTTTTGAGCCCATTGTGAATTTCATCAGGAAATGTATCTCGATAATGTATCACTCTGCCTGACCCCTGTTGTTCCGCCTGTCTCACTTCCACCACTTCATATACATAGTTCATGCTCAGGAAGTTCTAAGTGTCCCAGGATGTGTAGGTAGCAGTGAATAGCTCTGAAATGTTAAGTAAACTACCATGTGCGGGTAAATCCATAAGTTATATCCATCCCATTATATGTCAGTTAGGGCACATTACTATATGTAAGATCATCAGTTTTTTCCCTTACTAAAGATCTCCTTAATTGGCAGCGCAAATTAAGATGTGTGATGATTTTTCCAGTGGAAATGTTCCTGTTCATCATAATTTAAATTTGAGCAGATTATAGTTTCTTTAATTTAAATCAGTAGACAGTGAGTGGTTCTATGGGGTGGGTAGGCGACTACAGATAAGAGCACTTAAGGAACATTTCAGACAAGAGGCGAGATGTTCAATTCGTGTGGTTCTGCCCTGTGCCCCCAGGCTTATGAATGAAGCAGGGCGGTGACCTGCCTGAAGCAGTGTTAGTGCACGCCTAATACCGCTGGGCGTGGTGGGCTTTAATCTCACACACACAGTGAATAAAATTTCCATCCCTCGGAATGCACGTGAGGAGGTGGAAGCGGTTCCAGCAAAGCAGTTTAGGCCCGATCTTACAAGTAGAGGAACTAGGCGGGGAAGAGAAGGAAGGTATCCATTTAAACTCTGAACTCCATTCTAGCTTCTTTCTTTGGTGGGGGCGGGGAACACCTCACTGGCTTTATGGGTTGGTTGTCCTGTGACAGTGATCTCACCTCCCACGGGCTGTAGCCCTTGTTGGGCTGGCCACTGTGCCGTTGTGCTCTTCTACTGAACGACGGGAGTGATCCCCAGTGAGGGCAAGGATGGATCTGGTCCCTCGCTGAGAGTGCTCACCAGTGCGGCTCACAGGAGCTGAAGAGGCGACTGCCTTGGCTTCCCATGGGAGAAGCTGGGCTGCAGAATGTCAGTGTTGCCCTTTAAGCCTCACCTAGCTCCAGGGTGCAGGTTGGACCCTCCGAGAAGGAAATGGCGCTAAATGTTCTCATGAATATGCATGTTGTGGAAAGGGTGAAGGAAAAGTTTTTCCTGGTATTGACCTCATAGCTACAAAGTGTGTGATACCCATTTGACCCTTGGCTTAAAAATGGGCGTCCTGAGACCCAGAAGCTGGTCAGACAGGGGTGTTCATCTGTGACTTCTTAGAAGGATAATGCAATGACTTGCCACTTTTATAGTTCTGTATTTAAAAAGGCCACTTGGTTGCTGTTTTGATATTCCACGGACTATCTCACTAATGTAAGAGCTGAATTTTTAATGATCAGGAGAAACCTCAGAGAACATAATTCTGACCAGGACAGAAAACCATGAGGTAATTCATGTGACTTTAAAAAATTTATGAATTTCACTAAATTAATGAAAAGATCAGTAAAGCCATTTGAGTAGAATAGTCCAGGCATGTTTATTTTAAACTGCTTTGAGAGTTCTCCTTTACCTATCAGCGCTCTAAGTTACAGTGTAGAATTTTTACCTCCCGGGTACAATTTGGCTTTGTAAAGACACGGCTTATTCACCAAAGCGGAATTGATAACAGGCTGTTGGAGGAGAGGAGAGAGATAAGGAAATAACAGTGGGGCCATTTTATTTCCTTTTTGTTTATGAAAAGCAGTGGTTTCTGGATGTTTTAAAATAGTTCAGAGGCACATTTGGTAAATATAGCTGAAGTCAACACACAGAAAAGTTTGTCTTCCATGGTAAACGTTAGTGCCCTCAGTGCCGTGCAAAAAACACAAGGTCTGTCCCGAAAAAGTCCAACCATTGTTAATATAATGAGAACGGTTCGCATGACGTCGATGTAACCTGGCAGCCAAGGAGAGTGGACTGGAATGTGCATGTGAGAACAATGACGACGTCACTGTACTGGTCAGTGGGGGCGGTAGACACCATTGAGTGAGCATGTGCCGTGTGTGGCCACCACATTCAAACTGACTGGGCCAGTAGATCAGTGCATCTGCTTCACATTCCTCCTCCTCGGAAACTATTCGGATGAGTCAGAAGACCACAGCTATGGGCAACTGCTGACTGGAAGCTTCATCACAGCGATGCATCCACTTATGCATCACGTCTCCTGCAGAGATTTTTGGTGAAATATCGAATTACCCAGGTGACTCAGCCCTGCTACACCCCAGATTGGGCACCCTGCAGATTCTGGCTTTTCCCCAAACTAAATTCACCTTTAAAAGGGAAGAGATTTCAGACCATCGATGAGATTCAGGGAAATGGGGTGGAGCAGCCAATGGCGATGCTTACTTGGAAGGGCACTGAGGCGTTGTTGTTCTATGTACAATGTTTTTTGTATCTTGTGTCTTTGCCAGTAAATGTCCCTCTTTTTCATATTGCGTGGCTGGATACTTTCTGGACAGGCTTCATATGTCGTGGGGCCAGACTTGGAGTTCAGATAGTTGACTTCTCTGCCAGTCCCCCCCCCCACCTACCCATGATCATCAGCTCGTGGTCTTTGAGCATCAACTATGTGCTAGGTATGCTAGTTATGGTGGAAGAAAGGAAGACTGTTAGCCTTTCCTGCCTTTGCCAGTCCCACCTGGCCCCTGCTCTGTCCTGCGGGGGTTCAGTGACCTTTGGTGTGGGGAGTGGGAAATGTTAAGAGCCATCCTTCCTTCCCACCTCCCCTCCCACCCCAAGGAAACTATCGCTTCTTTTTAAAACTGCTAGGTACTTAAAGTTGTCAGAATTAATCCTCACTGTAGTTCTGTGACGTGGTTGTATTGTCTGCATTACAACCTACTTCAAAGATAAGGTAAAGTTGAGGCTGGTGTGGCTGAGTAGATTGAGTGCCAGCCTGTGAACCAGAGGGTCGCCAGTTCGATTCCCAGTCAAGGCACATGCCTGGATTGCAGGCCAGGCCCCCAGTGAAGATAAGGTGAAATTGAGCAATTAGCTTCAGGCAACTGCCAAGGAAGGAGCAGAGCCAGGATTCTGTCCCCAGAGCCACTGCCGCACTTTAGTCTGGGGAAGCAGGGGACCTTGGCAGGTTGCCAAGTTTTCACTGCCATCATTGTATGAGGGCAGGGCCCCTGAGAATATTGAGGACACGTCAAGGATAACGCACTGTTTAAAAGTGAGGGGGTGTCGGCACTTCTGTGTTTTTTCAGGACATCTTCGCCGCTCGCTCTAACCAGGAGGGCCGCGGGTGTCCGTGGTCAGTAGCCGGTCCACTTCCTTTTTAGGAATTGCCCAGATTATGCTTTGGACGGGAGTCCTTGGGTACCGTCTGCCAGTGTCAGCGTCGGAATATGAATTAAGGTCCACCAAGCTTTTACCAAAACAATGATTTTTACGTGAATCTTGTGTCGTGCACGGAGCAGCGGTTGAAGATGAGCTGAAATGAAACCCTGAGCCCTGGCTCCGCCCACTCTGCCGCGGGGTCTCATTTTCCAAATACTTTTCATTCAGTGGCCTGTCGGTCTCCACGTTGGCATGACGT